TCGCAGTCGAGTCGCATTCGCGATGGCAGTCGCAGTGGCAACGGCAGTCGCAGTCACAGCCTCAGCCTCAGCCTGCCTCAGCATCAGCCTGCCTCAGCCTCAGCCTCAGCCTGCCTCAGCCTCAGCCTCAGCCTGCTTCAGCCTCAGCCTCAGACTGCCTTCAGCCTCGGCCTCAGCCTCCGCCTGCCTCAGCCTCAGCCTGCATGAGCCTCAGCCTCAGCCTCAGCCTGCCTCAGCCTCAGCCTGCCTCAGCCTCAGCCTCAGCCTGCCTCAGCCTCGGCCTCAGTCTGCTTCAGCCTCAGCCTCAGTCTGCCTTCAGCCTCGGCCTCAGCCTCAGCCTGCCTCAGCCCCAGCCTGCCTCGACCGCAGCATCAGCCTGCCTCAGCATTCAAAATGTGGCCCAGGAAAAGGAGTTCTAGGAAGTCGAAGAGCACGAAGTTGCCTACAGTTGGCTACGGGCATTCAAAATGTGGCCCGGGAATGGAGTTCTGGGAACTCGAAGAGCACGAAGTGGCCAACAGTTGGCTCCGGGCATTCAAAATGTGGCCCGGGAATGGAGTTCTGGGAACTCGAAGAGCACGAAGTGGCCTACAGTTGGCTCCGAGCATTCAAAATGTGGCCCGGGAATGGAGTTCTGGGGACTCGAAGAGCACGAAGTGGCCTACAGTTGGCTCCGGGCATTCAAAATGTGGCCCGGGAATGGAGTTCTGGGAAGTCGAAGACCACGAAGTGGCCTACAGTTGGCTCCGGGCATTCAGAATGAGGCCCGGGAATGGAGTTCTGGGAGGTCGAAGAGCTCGAAAAAAAAAAAAAAAAAAAGAGCACGAAGTGTGTGACTGTTTGCTTAAAACGACTTCTGCGGCACCCTGTCCGGCACCCGCCCAGACCCCCCTGTGGAGTCATCTGCTGCTCTCTTTTGAGACCACTAGAAACCTATCAGTCTTCGCTGTTAGGTAAAAATGTATCCATCTTTATTGCCATTTGTTCATATAGCTTTCGCTTAACGAATACAACTTATCCCAATTTCCGGATTTTCATCAGACTCTGGAGTGCCGGGGGGGGTATAATGTAACGCCTCCCCCCCGCCGTGCGCACGGCGGCAGTGCCCGGAGCGCACTGGGCGGGAGGGGCGTCAAGTAAAGGGGGGGGGCCGGGGGCTATAGTGATCACTATACCCCAAGAAATTATAGCCGGAGTGCAGTATCCCCAAACAAGGTTTTTAGACCCACTGCGGTTTCCAAGGTCGATTGCGTGCCCGTCCAGGTCGGGCTGGCATGGCATGTTAAAACATGCCTCCTCCTCCTCCTCCTCCTGCTCCTCCTCCTCCACCTCCTCTTCATCCCGAACGGCATCTCGGAGCCCAGAGTTGCGAGGATGTCTCCAGCGTAACGGGCTGGACCACCTCGCGCGCGGCATTTCGGACCCCAGAGTTGCGACGATGTCTCGGGCGAAACGTGCTGCGAGGAAGTCTCAGGCGAAACGGGCCGGACCACCTCGAGCGCGGCGTCTCAGAGCTCCGCGTTGCGGGGGCCTCCTGGGGCCTCCTGGGGCCTCCTGGTGACCTCCTGGGGCTTCCTCCTGGGGCTTCCTCCTGGGCCTCCTGTGGCCTCCTGGACCCCGCCTGGGGCTTCCTGAAGCCTCTTGGGGCTCCCAGGGGGGGATATCTAACATGTGGCCGTCGGGCCCCCCCAAAATGAGGGGGGGCCACAGGAGCCGGAAAAATCAACGAATCGACACCGGATGTGTATTTAACTTGACACGTTCTGCTAGGGGGCCTCCTGGGGCCTCCTGGGAGCCTCTTGGGAATCTCCTGCGGACCCCTGGGGCCTGTCCTGGGCGTCCTGCGGCCTCCTGAAGCTCTCTGGGGCCTCTTGGGGCTCCCAGGGTCCCAGGGGGGATATGTAACATGTGGTCATCTGGGCCCCCAGGCTGGACCACCTCTTGCGCAGCATCTGAGAGCTCAGAGTTGCGAGAATGTCTTGTGCGGAACGGGCAGGACCACCTTGCGCACGGCATCTCAAAGCTCAGAGTTGCGAGGATGTCTCAGGAGAGATGGGCCGGACCACCTCGCGAAGGGCATCTCTGAGCCCAGAGTTGCGAGGATGTCTCCAGCGTAACGGGCTGGACCACCTCGCGCGCGGCATTTCGGACCCCAGAGTTGCGACGATGTCTCGGGCGAAACGTGCTGCGAGGAAGTCTCAGGCGAAACGGGCCGGACCACCTCGAGCGCGGCGTGTCAGAGCTCCGAGTTGGGGGGGCCTCCTGGTGCCTCCTGGTGCCTCCTGGGGACCTCCTGGGGCTTCCTCCTGGGCCTCCTGTGGCCTCCTTGACCCCACCTGGGGCTTCCTGAAGCCTCTTGGGGCTCCCAGGGGGGATATCTAACCTGTGGCCGTCGGTACCCCCAAAATGGGGGGGGGGCCACAAGAGCAGGAAAAATCAACGAATCGACACCGAATTTGTATTAACTTGACACGTTCTGCTAGGGGGGCTCCTGGGGCCTCCTGGGAGCCTCCTGGGAATCTCCTGCGGACCCCTGGGGCCTGTCCTGGGCGTCCTGCGGCCTCCTGAAGCTCTCTGGGGCCTCCTGGGGCTCCCAGGGTCGTAGGAGGGATATGTAACATGTAGTCGTCTGGGCCCCCAGGCTGGACCCCCTCTTGCGCGGCATCTGGGAGCTCAGAGTTGCGAGAATGTCTTGTGCGAAACAGGCCGGACCACCTTGCGCACGGCATCTCAGAACTCAGAGTTGCGAGAATGTCTTGTGCGAAACGGGCCAGACCACCTCGCGCAGGGCATCTCGGAGCCCAGAGTTGCGAGGATGTCTCCAGCGTAACGGACTGGACCACCTCGCGCGCGGCATTTCGGATCCCAGAGTTGCGACGACGATGTCTCGGGCGAAACGTGCTGCGAGGAAGTCTCAGGCGAAACGGGCCGGACCACCTCGAGCGCGGCGTCTCAGAGCTCCAAGTTGCGTGGGCCTCCTTGGGCCTCCTGGTGACCTCCTGGGGCTTCCTCCTGGGCCTCCTGTGGCCTCCTGGACCCCACCTGGGGCTTCCTGAAGCCTCTTGGGGCTCCCATGGGGGGATATCTAACATGTGGCCGTCGGGCCCCCCCAACGAATCGACACCGGATTTGTATTAACTTGACACGTTCTGATAGGGGGCCTCCTGGGGCCTCCTGGGAGCCTCCTGGGAATCTCCTGGGGACCCCTGGGGCCTGTCCTGGGCGTCCTGCGACTTCCTGAAGCTCTCTGGGGCCTCCTGGGGCTCCCAGGGTCGTAGGAGGGATATGTAACATGTAGTCGTCTGGGCCCCCAGGCTGGACCCCCTCTTGCGCGGCATCTGGGAGCTCAGAGTTGCGAGAATGTCTTGTGCGAAACGGGCCGGACCACCTTGCGCACGGCATCTCAGAGCTCAGAGTTGCAAGGATGTCTCAAGCGAGACGGGCGGGTGTCTCGGGCGAAACGTGCTGCGAAGAAGTCTCAGGCGAAACGGGCCGGACCACCTCGAGTGCGGCCTCTCAGAGCTCCGAGTTGCGGGGGCCTCCTGGGGCCTCCTGGGGCCTCCTGGTGACCTCCTGGGGCTTCCTCCTGTGGCCTCCTGAACTCCACCTGGGGTTTCCTGAAGCCTCTTGGGGCTCCTCAAAATAAAGGGGTGCCAC